GGTACTAGATCAAAATCGAACCGAGGGCAGCCTAAGTGTATCCTGACCAAAAGGGCTTGGATCAGTAAGACAGGCTCTTTGCATTTGGGATTAATGCAAATTAGCTGGTAAGATGGTGGAATTAAAATGCTTTATGAGGTATTGGAGAGATGGCTTGGGTGTTAGGAATGTGTGCTGCTCTTTCAGGGTACTGGAATTTGGTTCCTAGCACCCACATCATGGAACTACTTTTTGGGGGGATTTGACATCCTTCTGGCCTCTTTGGGCATCTGCCACACACACACACACACACACACACACACACAAATAAAATCTTTAATGAAAATTACAATGTCATTCAGGCCTTCGGTCCTCCACAGAGACATAAGCAATTTTCAAGGTCTGGGGCTCTGTTCCTTAACCCCAGGTTAATTCTTTTAATTTCTATGCCCTCCTCAAGTTCTTTTGATACTTTTCCTTTACCCTTTCCTGCCTTCCACACTAACCCAACCATGCAGTTTTAAAGATTTAGAAATGAATGAAAAAAAAAAACATACAATTAAATGCTCATTACCACCAAATAGATGGGGAAAGCAAAGAACAGTAGATAGAGTCCAGGGAATAGGGATTCTAAGTTGGCTGCCTCCACTCCCCTATCCATACACTGTACCTGCACATCTATGTGTGCGTGCATGCACAGCCACCTCTCAACTTCCTTCTCCTTTAATGGCTGCTCAGAGTTTGGATCCCCCCCCTTTTTTGTCTTTTGAAAGAGGGTCTCCCTGTAGCCCCAGCTGGTCTGGAACTCACTATGTAGACCAGGCTGGCCTTGAACTCACAGAGATCCACCTGCCTCTGCCTCCCAAGTGCTGGGAGGTGTGCACCCCCCTAGCTTTTCTTTTTTTTTATATTTTATTTTTATTTTACGTGTGTGAGTGTGTTGCCTGCATGTATGTGAGTGCACCCGTATCATGCAGTGCCTTGGAAGTCAGAAGAGGGCTTCGGATTCCCCTGGAACTGAGGTTAAGGACGGTTTGTAGTCACCATGTGGGTGCTGGGAATTGAACCCAGGTCCTCTGCAAGACCAGTCAGTGCTCTTAACCTGAGCCATCTCTCCAGCCCCTCCCTTTGGTTTTTTAAAGACAGTATCGCATGTAGCCCAGGTTGGTATCAAACTCCCTATGTAACCAAGGATGACCCTGAACTACTGATCTTCCTGCCTCCACTTGCTAGTGCTGGGATTACAGGTATTGTACCATTATACCCACTTTATAGGGTGCTGGGGATTGAACTCGGGCTTCATGTATGCCAGGCAAACACTCTATCAACTGGGCTACATCTCTAACCCTGCTGAGTTTGGATTTTATAACAGAGCCATAGGGAAACCTTTAGAGAGATTTGGGGAAGACTGGAGAGAGAGAGAGAGAGAGAGAGAGAGAGAGAGAGAGAGAGAGACGCCAAGGCAGTGGCAGAAGAGAATGGGAATGAATACCAGCAGCTGTTCCGAAGGAAGAATGTGGCAGATCTATGACCCTAGATGAGGAGTGGGGTGGGAAGATGACCAGGGGTTTCTGTTTGCTAGTGTGGTGAGGGCCTGACTTCTCTGTTTGTTTATAAGAAATGTTTGTCCTTCAGGACCTCTAGGATGAACCTGGCATGCAGCTGTCTATAGTTCTGAGCTCAGGAGAACAATCAGGACTTAAAGATTTATGAATGGAGCTGGGTAGTGTGGGTTACATTTGGGAGGCCCAGGCACAAGGATCACCAGTTCAAGCCTACTGTGGGCTACATAGTCCCTCAGTAAAACCCCCACAAGTGAGAGTGGGTGTATGGAACAGGAAGGAGGATGGAACAGGGCCTGGAGGATGACCAAGAGCATTCAAGGAGGAAGGAGGAAAACCAAGGGATTTAGAAACCAGGGGGACAGCCCACCTGGGTCCTGGGTTAACTCTTTGCTTACTGGCCCTTTCCAGGAGCCTCTCCCAAACAATCCCTGCCAGTCCAATCTAGCCTTTGGTGGCACCAGCATGGTCATTTCTACCTACAGGATGCTATGCTGGGAACCAAAACTGTAACTGGACATGGAGAGTCAGGACTGAAGAGTTTGCCTGGGAAGTTAATGCAGACAAAAGGTCCCATTTCCTGTGTCCAAGTGAATGGATTCGAGGGGACAAGGAAGCACAGGAAGATTCCTGAATTCCAGAAAACCCGTGGCAGAACTTTCTGCTTGTGTGATCCTGGCCAAGTCAATTAACTCCTTGAGCAGTGCCCACATCTGGGCATGAGGGCAGCTGGCAGACTTGTAGGAACTGGACATGCTGTCTTGTTTGTTGGGGTGTGTGTATTTACTGGTGGCAAGCTTGGCAGAGTTGTAAGGAGACAGCCACCGGGAGCAGGTTATGGCTCCTGCCTGGTTGCCAGGGCTGAAGAGGAGAGGTGCTCTGAAGGATGGCCCTGGATAATGGCAGGCCAAGCCCACAGCTAAGGCACTCAGCCTAGGTAGGGATTTAGGCCACACCAGCTGGAATGGGGACTCACTACAGCCTTCTGCAGAGGTGCTTACCCAGCGACATGTATACTTCCCAAGCCCCAGAAACACGGAATTCGCGAATCTGAGGCACCACATAGGCCAGACTTTCCTAATGAGTAGCTCCTGAGGAATCCTCTCAGGGATTAGTGCCCCCTCGGAGATGGCAGTCCCAGTACTGGGGCGGAACTGAGCTCCAGATGTCTGGGCGTGCACAGCTGGAGGGTCACGTGGAACGGTCCCAGCCCCCTTCCTGCCAACGTTGCATTTGGCTCAGGCCCCGTCCATGGCCGCCCTTGGGACCCTGAGCTGACAGCCAGAGGCCCTGGCGTCGGAGGACCGCGCTGGCGTCGGAGGACCGCGCCCCTCCGGAGGGTCGTGCGTGCGTGGGTGCTGGGTTCCCAGAGAGGTTGGTGTTGGGTTCCCAGAGAGGTGCTGGGGAGAAGGGATTTGGCCACGGCCCAAGGGACGGGCGCCGGTGGGGAGGAGAGGCGCGCCTCCCTGCCAGGCCTTGGGGCACCGACCTGGGGGACTGGGGTGCTGTTTTCCAGGAGGAACTTCTTGTTTCTTTAGGCTGCGCTTCAGGCGGAGGTCGACTGCAGGGGATGAAGGTAGCGTAGCGGACCCTGGGGCGTGGCCTCGGTTTCCTCCTCCCGGGGGGGCGGGGCTGGGAGCCCCGGGCTGCGACCCCTCCGAGTGAAGGCGGGCGCGGTCATGAGGAGGCTGCGCCTACAGGACGCGTGGCTCACGCTGCTGCTTGGAGCTGCGCTCGGCCTCCTGCTCTACACGCAGCGGGACCGGGCAGCCCCGACCACGAGAGCTCCACGGGTGCAAGGAAGGCAGGCCCCGCGGCCCGCTCCCGGTCGCCGCGCACTCCCGGTCCCCGACGTGGGTGCGGACCCCCCATCCTACGAGGGGGGCACTCCGGCGCCGCCCACGCTCCCAGGGCCCTTTGACTTCGGTCGGTATTTACGCGCCAAGGACCAGCGGCGCTTCCCGCTGCTGATTAACCAGCCGCACAAGTGCCGTAGTGATGGCGCACGGGGCGGCCAGCCCGACCTGCTCATCGCTGTCAAGTCTGTGGCTTCGGACTTCGAACGGCGTGAAGCCGTACGCCAGACATGGGGCGCCGAGGGTCGCAAGCAGGGAGCACTCGTCCGTCGGGTGTTCTTGCTGGGTGTGCCCAGGGGCGCGGGCCCCGACGAGGCGGGCACGCAGACGCACTGGCGTGCCCTGTTAGCGGCAGAGAGCCGGGCTTACGCAGACATCTTGCTCTGGGCTTTCGAAGACACATTTTTCAACCTAACACTCAAGGAGATTCACTTTCTGGCCTGGGCCTCAGCCTTCTGTCCAGATGTGCGCTTTGTTTTTAAGGGCGATGCGGATGTGTTCGTGCATGTGAGGAATCTGCTACAGTTCCTAAAGCTACGGGATCCAGCACAGGACCTGCTTGCGGGTGATGTGATTGTGCAGGCAAGGCCAATCCGTTTGAGGACCAGCAAGTACTACATCCCGGAGGCTGTGTATGGACTGCATGCCTATCCTGCATATGCAGGGGGTGGAGGCTTTGTTCTTTCCGGAGCCACACTGCGCCGCCTAGCAGAGGCCTGCTCGCAGGTTGAGCTCTTTCCCATAGATGATGTCTTTCTGGGCATGTGTTTGCAGCGCCTGCGACTCACACCTGAGCCTCACCCAGCATTTCGTACCTTTGGCATCTCCCAGCCTTCAGCTGCACCGCATCTTCACACCTTCGACCCCTGCTTCTACAGGGAACTGGTGGTAGTGCATGGACTCTCAGCAGCTGATATCTGGCTTATGTGGCGCCTGCTTTATGGGCCTCAGGGGCCAGTCTGTGCACACCCACAACCTGTGGCTGCAGGCCCCTTCCAATGGGACTCTTAGCTGTCCACCACAGTGTCAAGCTTCTCTCAGGACAAAACAGAAGAGAAGGAAGGGCTTTCCCATGTGGATCATGGTGTATGTGGCATTCCTTTAGATCACTTTGTATGTAATGCTGACCCACTGAGATAGCCAGGGCCAAGGTGGTGGACCATGTCTTGCCCAAGAGAACTAGGCATATCTAATAGTAGTGGCAAACTGCAATGATGTGTGTGCCAGTGAGGAATTAGTTGTAACTCCTAGGATGACACTGATACAAGCAGGTCTCCCCAAGGTCAGGCCTCATAGCCCTCTTGGACCTGGCAGGGACTCTCCCACTGACATTCGTTTCCTTCTCCACACTGGATTCCTTGCACTGGCCACATCTTTAGATCTTTCCCCATCTTGAAGCCAGTCCCTCCTGGGTCAGGTCTGCTTGTAATATCACAGATGGTGCCATGCACAAATGTGCTGTGGTCTTGTCCACCACCTATACCCACACAACTATGCCAATGTTGTTCAGAAGGCCGAACCATCCCCTGCAGAGGGAGGAGTCCTCTAAGATTGTTGTGCTATAAAATTTCCTATATTCTTCAACCACCCTTTCTTCAAGAAAACCAACAGTTCACATTGTTTTAGTACAAACATCCCAGCAGCAGCACATACCGAGCTGTTGCTGAGGGCATAGGTGCTTTATTGGAAAGGGGGATGAGAAAGTTTCCTCCATTTCAAGAGGATGGAACAGTCCTGGCTACCCCTGACAGTGGGATGTGCAGGGTCTCTGGCCAGACCAAGGTCCAAATGGGAAGACACTAGTCAATCACAAAGTCATGAGCGCGCCACACAGGCCTGGCTGTAGGCCCAGGACCCATACAGACAGCTGGGGCAGGTCCCCTGCACATTCATCATGAACTATACAAGATGAGGCTGTACATGAGTTAATTACAAAAGAGTCATATTTACAAAATCTGTACACACATTTGAAAAACTCACAAAATTGTCATCTATGTATCACAAGTTGCTAGACCAAAATATTAAAAATGGGATAAAATTATACATTTCTCTTTTCCATTCTTTTCAAAAGGATTTTTTTTTTTTTTTTGGTTTTTTTTGAGACAGGGTCTCCCTGTAGCTCCAGCTGTCCTGGAACTCACTATGTAGACCAGGCTGGCCTTGAACTCACAGATCCGCCTGCCTCTGCGTCCCGAGTTCTGGGATTAAAGGCGTGCGCCACCACGCCAAAAGGATTAATATTTTTAAAGCACATATATATGCTACTTTCCATTAGCAAGAAACCAAGCAGCCCAGTCTTCCTTGAGCCTCTAGAGGCCTTAGGCTGGGTGGCCAGGCCAGAGGACAGTGCCCAGAGTTGGGGCAGGGAGCTGGCCCACAGTGCACAACAGAATGCTGAAACATAACAAAAGGAGGAAGATGTCTTTGGCTAACACTTTGGCATTAAATAAAAGAGGCAAACAAGATGGAAACATGCAGCCCTGCCAGCCAGGTTGGACCATGCAGGGGCACAGATGGTCACCTGTGAAAGCTGGCTCCCAGAACAGTGGAAACCAGACATGGCAGGGAGCATGTGCACAAGAGAAAGAGAAAAGGGCGGGTGGGTCACACTGGCCACGGCCAGCTCATCAAGTAACTAAAGTGGATGTAGTGCAAATGTTGCAACCAAGAACTACGGACACACTACCTGCTTGTCTTAGGGGCCACAAGGCAATGTCAGGCCAAAGGCAGGAACCTGTCTTCATCCTGGGAGCCTGTGTCCCTCTGCCACAGAAAGAGCCCAGGTTTCCCCATGTACGTTATATCCTGCCTCATTACATGTTAGTTGAGAGGCGCTGGGTCCAGGTATCAAGGCTCAAAGTTTGTGCTTCTCTTTGCAGTCTGTGTCCTCTGCTGGCAGCAGTGGGCTTAGGACGGACAGAGGAATATCTGGATCCTTTGTGTCACGGTAGAGTACTCAGCCCAAATCCCTCCTCAGAACATCCCACAGCCATTCGATATTGGCAAAGAGCCCAAGAAGACCCACGGGGTGGCACAGAGACCCACTGAGCTGGATGTGATGCACAGTTCCATGGGCAGAAGGGAATGGGTAATGATGTCCTTAGGGGAGCTCTGCTGTTCTCAGATGGGCACCAGGTCTAGGGGGGCCATATAGGGTCACTGAGGCAATGTGGTTGTTCTGCATGACCTGGTGTGAGAAAAGGACATGGATCAAGAGGGAGAAATGTAGGTAGAACATGTACCTGCAGTTGGGGTTGGCTACAGGTTGTACACATGATGTACACAAGCCTGGGCTCTGGGTTTCCAGAACCATCCACTTCTTCCAATTCAAGCTGGTAGGGCCCAGCTTTGCCCAAGATCTGTCTATTCTTCAAAGGATACACAGCCTTTATCATATACATTTATCTAGTCTTTCTGGAGCTGTTAGGTATCCAGATGGGATGGGGGGCTCTCTAACCTCCCCAATCAGTGGGGCCTCCAGAGCTGCTCATCCACAGAAACATTAATCCACATAGCACAAGGGCTTCAACACTGGCTCCAGTTGCCGAGGTTCCCCTCCCTGCTGGACTGCTTTTAGATAAAACTAGGGATTGCTGATACCTCTCATCTTGTTGAAGATAGACTTCTTCAGGCTCTGTGACCCCAAATTTCCAAGTTTTTTTCTCCTTTTTTTTTGGTCTTTTTGAGACAGGGTCTCCCTGTAGCCCCAGCTGTTCTGGAACTCACTATGTAGACCAGGCTGGCCTTGAACTCACAGAGATTTGCCTGCCTTTGCCTCCCAAGTGGTGGGATTAAAAGCGTGCACCACCATGCCTGGCCCTTTTTTCCCCATTTTTATTTAGCAAATGTGTGTGTGTGTGTGTGTGTGTGTGTGTGTGCACTTGCCACAGTGTGCATGTGGTAGTGAAAGGACACCTTTTAGGAGATGGCTCTCTCCTATTATATGGGTTCCAGATATCAAACTTGGGTCCTCAGGCTTGGTAGCAAGGGCTTTTACCTGTGAAGCCATCTTGCTGGCCCTCCCAACATCATTTCTGAACTTTCAGACTGGGATACTGAAGAAGAATTCATCTGTCTAGCATGTCTAGCATGGCAGTTAGGTGCTCTCTAATTTTCCTCAGCCACAAAGCCCTTAGCACCTTATTTAGACTTCAGGACTTACCTCAAAGATCATTCGCTGAAGACCAAAGCAGAATGTGGAGCCAAATGGGTTGGTGTTGTTTGGAGAGGAGGACCTGAGGCCAGAGAAGCCAGAATTAAAGAAACAAAGGCCAAGGTCAGCAGAACATCCAGTCCTTCTGGGATACAGCCTACTGGTCAGTGGTCTTATAACTGTGAGTGTATGTTTGGCTCCAGTATAGGCCCTCAAGGTCAAAAGGGAAGAGACAGCCTTATTAAACCCAGAATCCGCTATAACCCAAAGAGCACAGAAAATTATTATAGTACTGAATGGGGTAGTGAGAAGTCAGGAAGATCCCTTCATGTGAGAGGGCACCTCAGGTAGCTCAGCACAAATGAGGTTAGGAACTATAGTAGGTAGCAGATTTGATGGGAAACAAGAGCCCATGGCAGCTGACAACCTACTGTTTTGAATAACTAGGGGTGAGAGGGTATCCATATCTACAGCTAGAACAGGGGGAGGGGAGTGATACCAGGGGAAACCTCGTAAAGTCAACAGGAAAAAGAGGTGGTCCAACCCTAACATGTATGTTCTAGCAAAAGTTCTGTGATTTCTCTTTTTATCCCCCTGCCTCATGCTAGGGATTGAGCCCCAGAGGGCACATGGTAGGCAAATATTCCACCACTGAGCTGTATATCCTTAGCCCAGAAACTTATGTTAGATTTCTCTTAGCCTTCTGAGTTTCAAGAAGGATGGGGTGGTCAGAGACAGTAACCTCCCACTCACCTGTGCAAGACAACAGGCTTCTCCACAGGGTGGCCCAGAAACTCTTGGATGTTGTCCCACTGCAAAAGGAACAGGGGCAGTAGGGATTAGCAGGGACCAGTATACATCTGTGATCAATGGCTAGCTTAGAGGCTGGACATGGCTCCAGACTGCTGGTAGGTCCATGCCCACCTCACCCTCAGGCTGTATCAGACAGGAAAATAGGAGCTCACCTTGCTGTAGGTTGTGCATGTTTCAGTCTGACCATCTGCATTTTCTGAAAAGAGAACATGGTGCAGGCTGGTAGTTGGCCCAATCTACTTATAGCCCCAGACATGCACAGAATCCAGACCTAACTACCCTTTGTGCTGTGGCTGAAATACACATGGGGCAAAGACAGGCTGTGTGAACAGTAAGGGAGAGCAAAGGGAGGCCAGTCTAGGTATGAGCTACACTAATCAGTAGTGGGCACAAAAGATGTGTTAAGAGCACTGGATGATCATTTGTTGCTAGGAAACTCCTCCCTCTACTAGCCAACAATTCTAGTCACCAGAGGTTTACAGCTTCTAAGATATTCCAGAGCAAGAACAATGCAGCTCCCAGAACAACGGACCCATCCCAGAGGAGCTGAAGCTATGGGAGAAGCAAAGGCTTCATCCACCTAACTACTATCACTCTCTCTGCTTGGCCTTTTCTCCTTCTCAGTATAAGAAAGGGACTCCAAATCCCCTTCAACCCAAATACATCCCCATTTACCTTTCTTTATGGTTAATGGGATCTTGAACTCACAGCGGTGGTAACTAAAATGAAGACAGATGACATTAAAAGTTGGGTTTTTTAGAAGGCCTGGCTACTCCCACATCCTAACACTGTACCCAAGGAAAACCAGAACCCAATACACCTGCCCAAAGTCCTGGCTTTTGGTCTGTGGTAGCATTTGTTGGGAGAGGCCCAATTTAGGCATCAAAGTCAAACAGACAAGGGCATAGACCTCAGGTCTAAAGAGAATATTAACTTGGATAAGATATTAAGATTGCCAGCTGGGCATGGTGGCGCACACCTGTAGTCTCAGCATTTGGGAGGTTGACGGAGGAGGAGTACCATGAGTTTGAGGCCAGCCTGGGCTACACAGTAAGTACCAAGTCAGCTAGGGCTACACACCAAGACCCTATCGCAAAAAAGATATCAAAGTTTTTGATTATTAACTCCCTATTTATAAGCATTGGACATGGGGGCAGGAGCACAGCAGGCACCTAGTATGTATTTCCCACAAAACAGCAGTAATTCAGGTAGGGACTGGGAGTGTAGCTCAATGGTAAAGCCCATGCAAGGTCCTGGGCTCTGTCCCCAGTATTATAATCGAAGGGGTGGAGGGAAGGATCAAGTAGAGATAAATTAGTTAACACTCAGAGCCACAAATTCTAGTTCTTTTCCTGTTTTTTTTTTCTTTTAATTAGTCCAAAGCTCATCAAAGGTATACTCACATGTTAAAATTATAATGCCCAGGGTAATTGGTATGCAGAACAAACTTCTTCACTTTGTGTGTATTTGCATCAAAGAGGATGTCCTAGGATAGAAAGCAAGGTGCTCAAGTAGGAAAAGTTACTGAGGCAGGACAGGGGCCTTTCCAAAAGCACTCCAACTTGGAGACTTCTGCTCCATCATGAGGATGCTAGCAGCTTTCTCCCAAATAGTCAAAGGGACAGGTAGGGCCAAACATCCTTAACTGGGTACTTTTAGTGGAGGAGACCTGGAAGGGACAGGGGCTACAGCCTCTACTGCTTGGCAAATAAACATTTAAGGGAAATTTTCCCTCCAATGATAACTTGTTTTTCTTATTGAATACAGATTTTGGCTCAAAGGATACTTAAGAAGATTCAGAGGTTACTTGACTCTTGAAAGACTCATGATACCTGGCTATGTGACTGCTACAACCAATCAGACCTTTCAGCTTTTTTAAAAATTAAAATATTATTTTTATTTTAAATCTATGCATGTATTGCCTTCATGTATGTAAGTGTACCTGTGTCGTGCAATGCCCAAGGAGGACAGAAGAGGCTGCTGGATCCCCTGGAACTGGAGTTATAGACAGTTGTTAGCTGCCATGTGGGTGCTGGGATTTGAACCTGGGTCTTCTGCAAGAACAACCAGTGTTCTTAACCGCTGAGCCATCTCTCCAGCCCCAGACCTTTCAGCTTCTATGGAACCCGACAACCAACAGAAGTGAGGTTCTGCCTAACTTCTCAACAGGACTCAGACCTGGATCTAAGGTCACCTACTGATCATTTTCTCTTCTAACCAGCACTTTTCCCAGCTTATGTCAGCTGCTGAGGTCGGGGACACCAGGGTTATTTCTGACTCTACCCCCTTACCAAGAGTCAACAAAGTCGTACTAAAGCTACCCATTCTTGTCATCTTCCTCACTATCACCACTGATTCTTAAAACTCAGAGGTCCAGCTGCAAAACACCATTCCCCCAGGCCACTATCATACTCTCAAAGTCTGTGACCCTCCAGAGGCTGCTCCAGAATTCCTAACTTATGTTTGGTCTCTCCTGTGTAGACAGACCCAATCTTTCTTTCTCCCTCTCTGGAACCTATTATTTGCTGCCTTAGGACTTCAGATCATTGGAAAGTTCGAAGCTAATTCAGAAGACTTATGGTCTAGCTGGGTATGGTGACATATGCTGTTCTGGATAGCTTCAGTTGTCAATTTGACACACTTGGGTGGAGGGAACTTCAATTGAGTTATTTCCTCCATTGTACTGGCCTGTGGCCATGTCTGTGGGGTATATTTCTTGAGTGTTGAGTGATGTGGGAGGGCCCAGCTGACTGTGGGTATTGCCACCCCTGGACAGGTGGTCTTGTGTTGTATAAGAAAGCAGGCTGAGTATGAGCCAGAGGATCAAGCCAGTAAGAATAGTCTTTCCATGGTCTGTGCTTCAGCTCCTGCCTCTAGGTTCCTGCCCTGAATTCCTTCAATGATGAACTCTGACCTGAGAGATATAAAATAAACCCCTTTCTCCTCAAGTTGGTTTTGATCAGTGTTTTTATCACAGCAATAGAAAGTAACTAGAATATATGCCTATGATCCCAGCCCTGAGATGATTGTGAGTCTGAGGTCAGCCCTGGCTGACCTTGTCTCAAAGAAAAGTAAAAGGAAGGAAGGAAGGAAAGAGGGAGGGAGGGATGGAAGGAAGGAAGGGAAAGAGGGAGGAAGGAAGGAAAGAAACAATGATGAGCCATAGCACAGGTCAACCCTGCCCTGAGATGTTTCCTTCTGGCATATGGCTTATATAAACATTTCTCATACATACATCCTAGTCACCAGTTGGTCTGCCAACCCTGATGGCAGTCACCAACTCCATCGAGTGCTTTAGGTCTAGAGTACACAACTGCATCAGTATTTCAGGGGTGGTCCTCATTTAAAAATGCACACTCCCATTGTCTGAGCCTTTCCACCCTCCCTTTTGGGGATTCCAGAAGAGTCCTGTGTACTACAGAAGGATAGTTCCCCCAGCAGTTTAACTTGAATGAGTTCTACAGTCTCCATACACGAAGCATGCTCCCTCATAAAAGAAGAAAAGACATGCCAGGAAACCCAGTATTCCCATGTTGCTCAGTATTCTTGGTGGCAAGAATGTCTACATAGGGGTACTGGAACCCACAAGAATAATACTGGCAAAAGTTCCTAGATTCCCAGGCAAGGTTATGGCTGCATGTGTACACACAGATACTCAAGGGTGCCCTGCCTATGACAACAGAAACAAAATCTTTCTCTCAAGGCACCATAACTTACCACACCAAGAGTGAAGTAGTTAAAAAAGTAGTCATTGCACTTAGATGGAACTTGCTTATGAGGGGAAGGAGAATGGATTTTCATCTGTTGAGAGATATAACAACACATTAAAATACAATCCCTTAAAATAGTTTCCAGTTAACATAAGTCTATATATTGTGTTCCTTATATAACATTAAGCTGTTGGATAAGCAGGACTGTGGGGAGTCTTAGACGCTGGTGGAGTCTAGGAGAAGGGGGAGCCAGATACGGTTGAATATGGACAGGGTCCTGATCTCCAAGTGGGTTACTTGGACAGTGATAAGAGTCATTAGACCAAGATGGAGCAGAGAAAAACTTTTACTCCAAGTAGAATAGGTTCGATGGGAAAACAACAGGGTTCATATTTACTGAATATTAAATTATTGCTGATTAAAGGTAGATTGCTTATTCACTGTACACGTTTCCCTACCTTATCTTCTGACTTATAGAAGACCTTGTGTGGAGAGCCAAGCATGCTAAGAACATCTTGGCAAGAATCACCAAAATATACTGAGCGTTCAAATACCCGCATCTTGGCATCTGCTAATAAGCCAGGTCCACAACCTGCAGGGAACAAGAGAAAAACTGTCAGGTTCTAGGCAGAGCTGGAGACATCTAACCCAAGGCCACGGGGGCTCCAAAGAAGCTACTGGCTACCTGCTGAATTATCAGATCTAACCAAGGGCAAGGATGCATTCAAATATAAACACCAGGTCAACTGGGCTTAAGTAAGACTTTAAAAAACCACTATCTTCTTGAAAATAGTGCCAGAGTCTTTGGAAAATTAATTATTTTCTAAGTATTTCTTTTTTCATTTTAAGTTTAAAAATATTTTATTTATTATTTTTATTTTATGTGTATGAATGTATTGCTTGTGTGTATGTAAGTGTACCCACGTCATGCAATGCCCGAAGAGGTCAGACAAGGGCATCGGATTCCCCTGAACTGGAGTTATGGACGGTTGTTAGTTATAATGTGTGGGATCAAGGAATCAAACCCGGGTCCTCTTGGAAGAGCAGCCAGTGCTCTTAACTACTGACCCATCTCTCTAGTCTCCTCTTTTTCAATTTATATACATGGAAAGAGACACACATACATACATACACACACACACACGCACACACACACACACACACACACACACAGACAGATAGACATTGACTCTTACCATGTAGCCCTCGCTGGTCTTGAAATCAGAGCGTACCACCTTCCTCTGCTTTCCAAGTAGTGGTATTAAAGGCATGTGCCACCATGCCTGAAAAGTCTTTTTATTTATTTATTCATTTATTTTTACTTATTTATTTAAAATACTTTTTATTTTTAATTTTATTTAATGCATATGAATTTGCTTGCAAGTAAGTGCATCTGTGCATGCAATACCCATGGAGGCCAGAAGAAAGCACTGGATACTCTGGAACTGGAGTTACTGTTATTAGCTACCATGTGGGATGGGGTGCTGGGAAATGAACTGGGGTCCTCTTGAAGAGCAGCCAGTGCTCTTATCTGCTGTGTCATCTCTCCAGCTCCTGTCTTAATTTTTTTTTTAATTTATTGTTTTTATTTTATGTGTATGCGTGTATTGACCGCATGTAGGTAAGTGCACCCATGTCGTGCAATGCCCTCAGAAGAGGCTGTCGGATCCCTGGGACTGGAGTTACAGACAGTTGTTAGCTGCCATGTGGGTGCTGGGATTCGAACTTGGGTCTTCTGCAAGAACAACCAGTGTTCTTAACTGCTGAGCCATCTCTCTAGGCCCTATCTTTAAAAATTTTAATTAATAAAATTTATTTTAATAAGTTAAATATAAGTTAATTAAAATTTTATTTTATATTTAAAATATTTTATTTCATTTTTTAAAGATTTTATTTATTATTTTTATTTCATGTATATGTGTGTATTGCCTGCATGCAGCTGTGTCATGCAAGGCTCACGGAAGTCAGAAGAGGCTGTCAGATCCCCTGGGACTGGAGTTACAGGCAGTTGTTAGCCATGCGGGTGCTGGGAACCAAACTTGGTCCTCTGCAGGGGCAGAGGTCAGTGCTCTTAACTGCCGAGCCACCTCTCCAGCACCCCCTTACTTTTCCTTTGAGACAGGCTAGTCTCAAATTGCTATGTAGTCAAGGATGACCTTGAATTCCTGATCCTTCTGCCTCTACCTCCCAAGTGCTGGGATTATAGGCACTGTGGTAACCCATATATGGTTACCCCAGTATTTCTTTGCTGCCTACCATGGGCTAGGACACTGGATACTGGTAAACAAAACCATCTAGTCCCTACCCATAGGCTCTAGAGCTTATGGTGTGGTGGTGAAGACCACAATCTGATCATCACAGAGCTATGGTAAGATCAGCAGTAGCAGTAGGTATTATGGAGCTGAATAATTGAAAGCCTCAAATTTATGATCCTTCTGCCTCAGCCTCTGTGGTACTAGGATTACAGGTATGTAATCACTTGGCTTATCAAGTTTCTTTTTTTTTTTTTTTTTTTAAGCAGTGCTGGGGTTTGAACCTAGGGTCTTACACATGCTAGGCAAGCACTTACCACTGAGAATCAATACATCTCTAGCTTCTAAGAAATATTTCTACTTCTGGTGTGTGTATGTGTGACTGTTAGCAAGCATCTGTGCATGGAGGCCAGAGGAGGTTGGGCACCCTTCTCTATCACTGTCTGCCTTACTCCTTTGAGACAGGGTCTCTCACTGAATCCAAATCTAAGCTGGTAGCCAGCAAGCCCCAGACATGCACAGCCACATCTAGCTTTTTTTTTTTTTAATATTTAAAAAATATTTTTATTTTATTATTTTTATTTTATGTGTATGAGTGTATTGCCTGCATGTATGTGAGTGCAGCCATGCTGTGCAATGCCGGAGTTTAGAAGAGGGCTTCAGATTCCCCTGGTACTGGAGCTAAGGACAGTTCATAGCCACCTTATGTGTGCTGGGAATTGAACCCAGGTCCTCTGCAAGAGCAGTCAGTGCTCTTAACCACTGAGCCACCTCTCCAGCCCTACACCTAGCTTTTTAATGGGTGCTGGGATCTGAACTCAGGTCCTCATGCCTGAGTAATAAACATGTTAACCACTGAGCCATCTCTCCAGGCCCAAGAAGTACTTCTTACTTTCTTTTCTCTTTTTAATTTTATGTGTTTGTGTAGCTAGTGGTTGCAGAGGCCAGAAGAGGGCACTGGGTTCCCTGGAACTGGAGTTAAAGGCAGCTATGAGTTGCCATGTGGCTGCTGGGAATGGAACCCGCTACTCTGCAAAAGCAGCAAGTGCTCTTACTTTTTGGGCCATTTCTCTAGCCCCAAAAGCACTTTTTAACAATAAAACCAACCAGAGGCTGGGCATGGTGGTGCACGCCTTTAATCCTAGTACTAGGGAGGTAGAGGCAGGCGAATCTCTGTGAGATCAAGGATGGCCTGGTCTACATAGTAAGTTCCAGGACAGCTGGGGAGCTGGGGCTATAGAGAGACCCTGTCTCAAAAAGACCGAAACAAAACAAAACAAAACAAAACAAACAAACAAACAAAAACCCACAAATGGGCAAGTGCTCATGGCATAAGTTACAGACATAGCAATATTAAAAATCTCTTTATTCTGTGGGTGGGAGACATGATTAATATATTTTACCCCAAATAGAGAAGGAAGTCCAAAGTCAAAGAAAAGCCTCAATTTCTGGTCCCATGATAACCAGACATCACCCTACTCTACATAAGGCTTCACAGTTGTCCAAGCTTTTTCATGTATAATAATCAATCTGGTATATGGGGACTTCAAAGAACCAAAAATCTGAAAGAACTATGTACTGAGTTCTCCAACTAACTCAATTCTAGTCTCAGTATACCCACTCTTCTTGAGACAGGACTGTAATTAAAAAAAAAAAAAATCAGGATTCTCTTACCTTAGCCTCCTGAACTCTGAATTATAGGTGTGTGCCACCACACCTGGCAGGACATATACTCTGAGTGGCACACACCTATCTAGATTCTAGGAAAAGCATGACGTTCATGAACCTCTGTCCATAAATACTGCAGCCTTAGGCAAGCCTAGGTAGCCTACAGAACACATCAAAAGTCCCATTAATGTGGGTCCTAAATTGCCATTTGTCAAATGCATTTCTTTAGGTACCAGATTCCTGTAAATGTCAGAATGGGGCTGTAGGAAGTGACAGCTGACAAGTGAATCTTTCTCTGTTGTTTCATTTACTACTTGAAGACCACCCAGGTAAAACTGCCCTCAGTCTTAGGAGACTAATTCAGTTTGTGGTTTCCTTCAGTGTCTTCTTAAAATTATTGTAAAGAAAAAAAAAAAAAAAGAAAAAAGAAGTATTGTAAGGCTATAACACTTGAACTGACCTGGGGACTGGAGAGATGGCTCAGTGGTTAAAAGCACTTGCTCTTGCAGATGACCCAGGTTCAATATCCTACTACCCACATGGCAGCTACCACAACCATCCATAACTCCAGTTTCAGGGGATTCAACACCCTCTTCTGACCTCTGAGGGCAATGCACAACACAGGTGCACTTATATACATACAGACAGTACACTCAAACACATAAAATAAAAACTAAAAAAAAAAAAAAAAAGCGCATCACTATTAGTCATACTCTCTAGAAAACAGATGTGAGAAATGGGTTGGAGGAAAACTGTTCTTGCCTAAGAAAACTCTCAATGAGGACTGGAATGGACACATCTCTGTAAATTAACACAAAGTGTTTTCCCTCCACTGACAGTTTAAACAGTGAGAGTGTTGGAAGTATGCTACTCAGGGGGGTCAGCCAGAATTGGCTGAAACTTCCAGTCATACTCTCTAGAAAACAGATGTGAGAAATGGGTTGGAGGAAAACTGTTCTTGCCTAAGAAAACTCTCAATGAGGACTGGAATGGACACATCTCTGTAAATTAACACAAAGTGTTTTCCCTCCACTGACAGTTTAAACAGTGAGAGTGTTGGAAGTATGCTACTCAGGGGGGTCAGCCAGAATTGGCTGAAACTTCCACACTCAGCTGCTCCTCTTGCTGTCTGTGACCTGTGATCACTAATGTTCCAGATCCTTGATGACCCTGCTACTTCAAGCAGTGATCCTAAGAAGATAGACCTTGTGTCCGCCTTCTATCAATTTTCTCAAAAATAATAGCTCAAGTTCAACATCCTTTAAGTAGTTGTTCTGTTTTGGTTAGAAAACAGACTTTAAGGGCCAGTGAGATGGCTCAGTGGATAAAGTGCTTGCCATGCAAGCCTGATGACCTGAGTTTGATCCCTGGAATTCACATAAAGGTGGAAGGAGAGAACAGATAGCAAGTTGTTTTCTACCTCACATGCATATATGCATGCTTATACCCACACCCACACATCATATATATACACGTAATAATAATAATGATAATACATACTTTAATAAAGCTCTAATCCAGAGGTTGTGGACTAATTGTTCAGAAGAGTGAATTCAGTTTATACATTAGATTCCTTTTTTTGGAAACAAGGCTTTGTAATATAGCCCAAATTGGACTAAAATCCAGAGTGATCATCCTGCCTCAGCTTCTAAGTGCTTGAATTACAGGCATCAGCCACCACACCCAGAGACTGATATGGACCCATATGTGTGAAGATATGGTAGTTGCACTATGGTCCCTTTACTTCCCCACAGACCTACATCCTGAAGGCATTGTAATGGCACATGCCTGCACACGTTCCTGCTCAGGAAAGTAGTGCTACTGCTGTTTATTCAGATTTGCTGAAGTCAGCCAGCTATGGTGGCACTATCCTGTAATCCAAGTACTCAGGAGGCTGAAACAGGAGGACTGAGTTCATAGCCAGCCTGGACTGCATTACGAGACTTTGTCTCTGGAAGACAAAACAAAACAAAACAAAAACAAGCCCCTTCTCCCTCCACCCCAAACAGGTTTACTAAAGATAAAGCTATGCGGCTAGAGAGATGGCTCAGTGGGTTAATAGTGCTTGCTCTGAGTTTGAATTTCTGTCACCCATGTTTAAAAAAAAAAAGCCAAGCTGGCTGCATGTACCTATAACCCCAACATGGGGGGCAGAGACAGTTAGATCCTGAGAGCTCATTGACCAGCCAGCCCAGTCAAAATGGAGGTGAGCTTTGGTCCAGTGAGATCTTGTCTTGAGGCAATAAGGTGAAGAGCAATAGAGGAGGATACTCAGCATCCTGCTCTGGGCTCAGCATATGTACTTATGGGTGTGTATACCAGCACACTCTCAAACACATGCATACAACCCACAAACATATAAAAGATAAAGCTTTGTCTTCTCCCTTGATAAAATTAAAGCTGCATTAAATTACTTAATAAAAATTTCAATAAAATAACTACATCATTTGTCCTCTACCAACTATGTAGCAATGGAATCATGAATACTGATATTCTCCTAAAATTTGTATGTTGAAATCTGCTTTTTTTTTTTTTTTGAGACAGGGTCTCCCTGTAGCCCCAGCTGGCCTGGAACTTGCTATGTAGACCAGGCTGGCCTGGCTCACATAGATTCACCTGCCTCTGCCTCCCAAAGGCTGGGACTTAAGGCATGTGCCACGACGCCTGGCTATGTATGTAGAAATATCTGAATTCTTTAAGGTGATGATATAGGAAGATACCATGAAACATGTCCATAAACCAGGAATGGGCTCTCACCAGATACTGACAATTTTAGAATGTTCCTATGTGGATATAATGGAATATCTACCAAGCTCAAAGCTGGTAACCTACCCGCAGCAAGTAGTCGAAGTCGTAACCCTGAGGGTCCAGTTCCATCTCGAAGAACATCTACACTCTCAGCATACACATTTCCCAGGAAACAGCTCAGGGGCATCACGGGAGCCCTGTAGTGGGCATAGAATGAACAAAGCATGGTCCTTCCTCCCAGAGAGGTCAAGGCCTTAGCACAAAGCTCCTATTCCTTATACTTACTTGGTATCCTGTAGGCTGTTTCCACTATAAATATACATTCGTTTTACAGTTGCTCCATGGGGTATCTGAAGAGAAGCTAGGCCATGGGCAAAATTGGGCTGCAAAAAAGACAAGAATTTTACCAGGGGCAACACTTTAGGTCATAGACACAGGCTCTCGTCCGCCCTGGTACCCATGATCTTTAAGAACTGGTCAGGTCAAAGCACACGGCCAAACCTGGCTCTGGGTCAATTAACTCACTCTAGATAAACAAGTGCATTTTATTTTATTTTTGTTTTATTTCATATTTTGAGGCAGGGTCTATATAGCCCAGGCTGGCCTTAGTCTCCTAAGTGCTGGGATTACAAGTATGTAGCATCATTCCTGTATTGTAAGTTCACTTTTAAAGTAAAAAGTAACTGAAAATCCAAAGAATGAACTCTTCAAACTCCTGGCCACTGAGAAAACTATAGTATTTAGGATCTTTAAGGAAGAACATGGTTAGATTTACCTCTGAAAAGTGTGAGATCCTCAATACTCTCTGCTGTACAAAATATCCTCTTCCTAGGAATGCTGGCTTGGACCTTGTTCTTCCTGCCAATTCCACCCATTCCATCCCTCCTGCCCCTTGAAGGACTCAGAGACAAGATGACCAGTGAAAGGCTTCACATCTAGTTCCTTATCCCACTTGGACAGTGAGAAAAAAAACCAAACCAAAACAACAAAAGAAAAAACAAACAAACAAACAAACAAACAAACAAAAAACCCAAAAAAACTCCTAGGGGACAGGAAATGCTAACCTCATACTTAGGAGCCTCCGTCCAGGAGTCTAACTGAAAAGAGAAGGACAGTCCTCTGAAGTTGAGGTGGAAGAGCTGCTCAGCAGAGTTGTATACTGTGGGTGAGGAAGAAGAAATAACACAGTTGACTGGCATCTGAAGTTTCTAACAATGAAACAATGAAACAATGGCAGGAAGCAATGATTCCAGAAGGGCAATTCCTTCCTCCTGTCTCCTTTCTGAATTGATCAAAACAAGGGGGAGATTTCGTTCACACCCAAGTGCCAACACCACAATCCTGAAATGGGGTGGGATGGCACCACCTGACAGCTTTACTGCTATGGGCTGCCTCTGATGACCAGAGGAATCAGATGAACTTGGCTTACCTCCAGGATGGGTTGCACCAAAAGACTGGTCAATTTGCTCAATGGTAGGAGCAATGGCCTGAGAGTTAAAATGCACTCCACTGAAAAATAAAAATACCTTTTAAATACTAGGTTTTACAAGATGGGCTTACAGATCATAATAAATGGTGGCTGGAAGTTAACTCATTTATTTTTTGAGACAGAATCTTGCTTTGGACCTGGCTGGCCTTGAACATGCAGCAATCAATCCTACCTTAGCCTCCTAGGTGTTGGGACTACCAGTATAAGTCACTGCATCCAGTATAAGAGTTTTTTTGGCCTTTTTGAGACAGGGTCTCCTTGTAGCCCCAGCTGGCCTGACACTCACTATGTAGACCAGGCTGGCCCTGAACTCACAGAGCACCACCTGCACCTGCCTCTGCCTCCCAGTTCTGGGATTAAGAGTTATTCCTTTTGAGACAGGGTTTCCCTGTAGTGGCGCTGGCCTGGAACTCACTATATAGACCAGGCTGGCCTTGAACTCACCGAGATCCACTGACTCTGCCTCCCGAGTGCTGGGACTAAAGGCATGCACCACCATGCCTGGCAAGAGTTATTCTTAAGCATTAAGCACATTAAAATCAAAATTAATTGATAAGAAGGTCACTTCTTATGAAACTGATATACAGAGCTGCCTCTGGAATTGTTCTCACTAAAGGGAAGCCTTCTAAGGAGGCTTACTGAAAGATACATTCTTTTTTGTTGTTGTAGTACTGGGAAATGAACTCAAGGCCTTGTGTATACTGGGCAAGCATTCTACCACTGGGTTATACATACAATCTCCAGTCCTTGAAAGTTATATTCCAAATGCTAGCATAGCACCTTGCACAGGAAGGGCTCAAGTAGCTATAGATTATACAGGTCACTTCCAGTTTCATTCTAAAAAGCAGATTCTGGCTCTAAAATGGTGGTCTCTACAGTATTGGTTTTGGAGCCAAACTGGTTTGTTCTATTTTTGTTACTCAGGAAAACCTGAAAAAGAGATGTCAAAGAAATGTATGCAGGGAAGAGTAATTACGACTCAGGAGACTATTATAGCACTTCTGAGGTGAAGTCCGACCTTGTTTAGAAAGGTAAATAAGATTTTATATATATGTAAAGTGCTTTATAAACATCAGCATATTCTTTTTTAAAAAATATTTATTATTTTTATTTTATGTGCATGAGTGTATTGCCTGCATGTATGTGAATGCACCCATATCATGCAATGCCACGGAGGTCAGAAGAGGGCTTCGGATTCCCCTGGAACTGGAGTTAAGGGCGGTTCACAGCCGCCATGTGGGTGCTGGGAATTGAACCAGGTCCTCTGCAAGAGCAGTCAGTGCTCTTAACCTCTGAGCCATCTTTCCATCCCCGATCAGCATATTCTTAATAAGTCTTACTTCCTCATGAATCTGAGGAAGCTGGGAGGTTGCCTCAGGAAATCATGGTACCAGGCTATATAATTCCTGGACTGCTGCAAATGAAATTCTTTTCTAAATAAAGGTAGAAAACAAAGCTAGTTTGTACCAAATATAGCACATACCAGCAAGGGAGAAACCTTACCAATGTTTTAAACATTTTATTTTTATTTATTTATTATTTTAAATATTTTATTTATTTTTATTTTATGTGTACGAGTGTATTGCTTGCATGTATGTGAGTGCACCCACGTCAGTCAATCCCACCGAGGTGAGAAGAGGGCTTCGGATTCCCCTGGAACTGGAATTATGGACAGTTAGCTGCCATGTGGGTGCTGGGAATTGAACCCGGGTCCTCTGCAAGAGCAGTTAGTGCTCTTAACCACTGAACCAGCTCTCCAGCCCCCTATTTTTATTTATTTTTAATTAAAAAATTTTATGTGGATGAATATTTCACCTATATGTATTTAAGTGAACTATATGCATGCAACACCCACATAAGTCAAAAGAGATGTTGGATCCCCTGGAACTGGAATTATGGACAGTTAGCTGCCATGTGGGTGCTGGGAACCAAACCTGGGTCCTCTTCAAGAGCAGCCAGTGCTCTTAACTGCTGAGCCATTTCTCCAGCCCCTATTTTTATTTTTATTTTTTTATTTATTTATTTTTCTTTGGTCTTTTTGAGACAGGGTCTCCCTGTAGCCCCAGCTGTCCTGGAACTCACTATGTAGACCAGGCTGGCCTTGAACTCACAGAGATCCGCCTGCCTCTGCCTCCCGAGTGCTGGGATTAAAGGCATGTGCCACCATGCCCGGCTTATTTTTTTTATTTGTGTGTATCTATGTGAATGTATGCCATTAGCATGTGGGTGCCTGTGGAGGCTAGAAGAGGGTGTCAGATCCCCTGGAGCTAGAATTACAGGCTGCTGTGAAGTTGCTTGATGCAGGTACTAGGAACCAAACTAGGGTCCTCTAGAAGAGCAACATGTGCTCTTAACCACTGAGCCATCTCTCCAGCCCCCAAACTTACCAATATTTTAACTTTACTTTAGTCAAGTCATAAACTTCAATCACCTAAAAAAAAATGTTTAAGAGTTGTTAATGCTCAAGTTGATACAATGACAGATATACTTGGGAGGCCAAGGTAGGAGGATCAGGAGTGCAAAGCCAGCCTGAGTTATCTGAGACCCTGCCTCAAAAATCAACTCAAACCAAACACTCCAAAAGCAGGGATGGGGAAGAACTTAGCAGTACAGCATATGTTTAGTAGGGTCTCAGCTTCATCACCAAAAATCCACACCCCAAAATAATCTCTTTATCTTTATCTGCACATTATCTTTTGTTCTCACTTTAAAAACTGAGAGGAAGAAAAAGCCATGTGTGGTAGTGGTATCTACAGACTTTATCTACTCAGTAGCAAGGATGGAGGATCACTTAAGTTGAGTTTGAGACAAGCCTGGGCAATATAGTGAGACTCCATCTCAAAATAAGATAAAAAACAAAATTGGGAAGAAAAACATAAACCATAACCTTTCTGTTACTGTGTTTCCTTTTGAGACAGGATCTTACTATGTAAGCCCTCCAACTTGCAATGATCCTCCTCCCTCTGCCTCCCAAGTGCTAGGATTATAGGTGTGTGACACTACACCAAGCCATAACCTCCCCTCTTCTAATAGATATTCAAATGATATTTATGGATGTTTAGGGCCAAGGTCCTTACATCTAAACCACTGCAGAGTCACATTGGAATAGGTATCATCACTCAAGACAATGCCACCTTCCAGAGAAACATCTCCATATAACTTGTTTTGACAATGTGTTGAATACTGAGCCCTTTTCTATGCCAAACTTTGACAAATTATAAAAACCAAACAAAATGAAACAAAAACCAGACCAAATTACTTAAAAAACAAAAAAAAAAACAACAAAAAAACCCCTTATTTATAATTGAAAAGATGGAAGAAGTGGACTGTCCCGTTAGAAAATAAGCCACAGTATGTTAACACAGAGCAGTGTGAGAGTGTTAGACTATATACCTAATAAAGGAGATCTGGTTAAACCTGAAGAACCTCAGGGCCCATGTGAAGTTTGCCCTTTAATAGGTTCAGCCTAGATGAAATGCCAGGAACTCAAAGCAGAGACAAATGAAAAGGCACTGAACACTCAGTCATTAATGGTACCAAGCAGTAAACACTACCAAGTTCTCCACACTGTGGTGTCAAGGCTTGGCACTCAGCAGCATAGCTGGGTGGGGTGGGAAGTACCATCTACCATCTTCCTGTGGGGGATGGCACAAGCAGAGCTGACTCAATGTCTGTTTGTGGAAGAGGTTGTGGGGAATACCTGGCACTGACACAGAAACTGAGACATATTTAAAAACTGAACTTTTAGCTGGGCATGGTGGTGAATGCCTGTGGTCCCAGCACTTGGGAGGCAGAGGCAGGCGGATCTCTGTGAGTTCCAGGCCAGCCTGGTCTACTTAGTGAGTTCCAGGCCAGCTGGGGCTACTTAGTGAGTTCCAGGCCAGCTGGGGCTACTGAACTTTTGGGCTACAGAAAGATGGCTTAGAGGTTAAGAGTACTTGCTGCTCCTGCAGAGGATCCAGGTTCGATTCCCAGCACCCACATGCCTGTGACTCCAATTCCAAGGGATTTGACACCCACTTCTGGCCTCCAAAGGCAGGCACCTGCATACACGTGATGCACATACATACTCAAATATACACACATATAAAATAAATCTTTTTTAAAAAATTAGTTAAGGGGGCTGGAGAGATGGCTCAGTGGTTAAGAACACTGGCAGTTCTTGCAGAAGACCTGGGTTCGAATCCCAGCACCCACATGGCAGCCAACAACTGTCCATAACTCCAGTTCCAGGGGATCTGACAGCTTCTTCTCTCTTCCGCGGGCATTGCACGATACGGGTGCACTTATCTACGTGTAGGCAATACATGCATACACATCAAATTAAAAAAAAAATTAGTTGAATTTGACCAGACTGTGTCCCTAAATTTTTTTTTTTTTGTTTTTTGAGACAGGGTCATTTAGCCCAGGATGGTTGTAAGGTCCCTATGTAGTCAAGGATGACCTTGAACTCCTGATCTTCCTGCCCCTAACTCTCAAGTGCTGGAATTACAGGTGTATGCCACCACCACTAATTCATGTGGTACTAGGGATTGAACCCAGGCTAGGCAGGCACTCTACCAATTGAGTTCTATTTCTAACCCTATCCTGAACTTTCTTAGAGAATATAACACTAGGGCTGGCAAGATGGCTCAGTGGGTAAAGGTGCTTACTACTGAGCCTGAAGACCTGAGTTTGATCTCCAGGACCCACATGGCAGAAGAAGAAAACAGACTTCCACAAGCTGTCCTTTGATGTCCACATGTGTGTCGTGGCATGCACATACCCAAACATACCCACACACTAAATAAATGTAATTTTGAGAAAGAACATAACATTGAATCAAGTTAGAACCCTCTCCACTGTTAATGAAGCTATTTTGATCCTATCTGCTAGGCACTGCTCTCTCTGCTGGGTCCTTACAGCACTTGAAGGAACCCTTCTCCCCAAACTTGTGCGAACTGTTCAATGGCACCACTAAGCCCCTTCTGGTGTAACAGGTTAGCTTGTAGAGGGAAGGTGTTTAGTGCATATTAGCTAAGTCTGCCTCGTACAAAGCTACTAAAGAGTAACATGAAGCTTGTGAGCATGAAAAGCTGGTGCTGGGAGAGGCAATGCAAAGAAAGACAGGTGACAGCTGTGATTGAGAAAGTCACCAAGGTCCCCTTCAGAATGCCTGGGCACAGCAGTAAACCATGCCAAACTGGCTGTCATTTCACTGAGATCAGGACCTTATGCTGACAGACACTCTCCACTTTCAGTCAGAAGTCCTGCCTGTAGAAGATCCAGGCATTCTCTCTGCCAGCTGCCCCTATGATTAGCTAATGATCTCCCAGAGAGATCATTTCTTCTAAGGGGATCCTTTCCATGACCTAGTTTCTCTCCTCAGTAGCTCACTTGTGATTGAAGGACAGGAAGGGGGAAGTACATAATTTTTTGGAAAGGCTACTCCATAACCTGAGCAGGAAACTAGCCCTGGTATGCCATGTTCAAACTCATGACTCTGAGGCATGAGTCGGTATCACATGACTAACTTGTGGGGTCCAAGCATTTGAAAAGAGTGTATTAAAAACATCCTGGATGGAAGCAGGTGCTAGCAAACTGCACTCCAATGCCAATTAAGATACCCTATACACCCAGAGGTTGTTTATATTTCCACAATGGAGTTAAAGAATCAACTCACTCTTGTTGGTATTAATACCAAACCCTAATATTCCAGAAGAAACTTCCATTTTCAATCTTCCAAGCCATACTGGCATAAAAATAAAGTAAAACAACATACATAAGTGTGACTAAAGTCACTTGGTCCTATTCTATACTTAGGCCCCATTCTTAGTACCTCTTAAAATTTAGACTTTTTTCTTTGGTTTCCTAGTCAGTATAAAAGTTCTTTCTCTATAGAACATCTACTAATACTCTTTCTCCTCCCAGCACATCCCCCAAATCTACAACACTCTTTTTAGCCACTGAGCAAAGGACAAGAGCTTTTCCCAGCTCCTTTCAACCATCTCAATTCTCTACCCACTTTTAGAGGAACAGCACAGCTTTAGCCCCCTACATCATGGTAGTCTTTGAATCAAAGAAGTGGACACCCACTTCTACGTTTCCAAAACATTTTACAATAGCACATATTAATCAGCTCCAGACAGACTGGACCAGCCAGATATGAAACTATATAGTTGTCATTTATGGTTACCTTAAGTCTCTGATTGAAAGCATCAAACAGTAGTTTGATCCCGTCCTGAGTCAGGTTAAGGATGAGGTCATGGCTTAGAGGAGACTACAAAACAAAAATAAAACACACTTTGAACAACTGATTTATTCACCAGTACCTACTGAAACTCTTACAACATAAATGTAATGCACAGGGGAAATGTAAGGCAGTCCCTTTCCCCCAACTAATAAAGTTTGGGAGCTTGAAAAAAAAAATTGGTGCATTGGGGCTTGAGAGATGGCTCAGCAGTTAAGAACACTGGTTGTTCTTGCAGAAGACCCAGGTTCGAATCCCAGCACCCACATGGCAGCTAACAACTGTCTGTAACTCCAGTCCCAGGGGATCCCACAGTCTATTCTGACCTCCGAGGGCATTGCACAACATGGATGCACTTACCTATATGCAGGTAATACATGCATACACATAAAATAAAAATAATAAGTAAAATATTTAAAAAAATCTAAGAAGTCATATTTCTCAGTTCTATGGTGGGGAGTAGCAGTATATAACTGCTAACAGAGCCATGATGACCTTAAAACTTCAAGAGCTCTGGTTTCTATCTAGGAGTACCTTCACCCCTTTTCCTCCAAGGTTGTTCTGAGGACAAAGATGGTAGGTCAGAAAGCACCAAGAGCAGATCTGGCACACAGAGCTCTTTCTTCTTGTGTCTGCCTCATCTTCTTGCTTCTGTCTGATGCAATGGATTAAAAAAATGTCTGAAAACTCTCAAGAACTGACTCAGGCTGCTACAAGTAGAAGGAAAACGCCACTATCACAAACCCAACCATTCTTGAAACTAATACACAGCTGAAAGGGTTTATAGAAGTTTTCACTAAAGCATCTTAAAGTGGACAAAGTAGCTAACAGAGGTGTGGTCTTAAGAAACATGGGCAAGCCAGGTGTGGTGGCACACACCTTTAGTCCCAGCACTCAAGAGACAGAGATAAGCAGATCTCTGAAATTGAGGCCAGCCTGGTCTACACAGCAAGCTTTGGGCCAGCTGGGGCTAAAAAAAAAAAAAAAAACAACAACAACCCAACAAAAATCCCACAACAGTAAAACAACTGAAAAAAAAAAAGCTGCAGCACCACAGTGAAGTTGGTATGGTAGTGTATACCCGTAATCCCAACACTGTGGAGGCCAACACAGGAGGATTCCAAGTTGGAGGTCAGTCTGGGCTACATAGTAAGATTCCCACAAGCACTACATTAGAGCTGTAAGACCATTTTCTTTTAATCCTTCTCAAAAGATTGTTCTACCAATAATATATGAATTTGATAGACTAGTTATTAAATTTCCACAAGCTGCACAAGCAAAAAATAGGAAGAACGTGGACCTAGACACAAAAACCCATGCTCTGGGCTGGGCAAGTGGTATATATCTATAATCCCAGAACTTGGGAGGTGGAGATAGGAGGATCAGAAGTTCAAGTTCAGCCTGGGCCACATGAGATCTGGTGTCAAAATTCCCAAACCAACTATTTGTTCCAGATGCTTAGAAAGTATTGGGGGAAATGAGCATGGTAACACTCCTACAAAACTGGAATTATAGATGACATGAGAATTGAACATCAACTTTAGAAATTGTTAGAAAGTGTAAAGCCTGCTTTCAAATACATCCAGTCTTCAGAGAGCTAAATCTTATTCAGCTCAATTGTACAGCAAGCTCATTTCCTCTGTTTTGATGGCTGCTACCTGTCAGATTAGGTGAGGGATGATTTGAGATGGAAGAATTTAAAAAACCACCATTCATCCTTTCCAAATGAAAAACCACTTTGGCACAATGAGTCACTTTCTGCACTTTCTGCCAAGTTCCCTGTTCTGTGGCAAGTGCCACATGAATATCCAAGCACATGGCATTCCCCCTCTCAGAAAGATCCTTCACGTAAGGCCCTGAGGATAAGTACTGCAGAATGTAGTCTCTGGCCAAGGGATACAGTACTGCAGAATGTAGTCTCTAATAGAGATAACAGGTCAAATGCTGATGCTGCTCTAAGCCAAACTGGGAAGCTTCACAGAAATCATATTCACCTATAATTTAAAACATTCTTCATGTCAAAAATAAGCTGCCATTTGCTTTAAGAGTTGAAACTAATTGGAACAACTGGAACCAAAAATATCAAACCAATACTCAAAGAATCCAAGAAAGGCCACAGAGACATTCTTTGGTCTCTGTAGGCTCAAAACTATTCCCTAAGGCTTATAACACAAAGGCCTTCTACAAAGCTGCACATGTACTGTGTCCTAGAACTGCAGGCTTCAGAGCTCAGTGGAGAGAAGATGCTTATTTTATTTATTATTTTTATTTTATGTGTATGCATGTATTGCCTGCATGTAGGTAAGTGCACCTGTGTCGTGCAATGCCCACGGAGGACAGAAGAGGCTGTTGGATCCCCTGGAACTGGAGTTATGGACAGTTGTTAGCTGCCATGTGGGTGCTGGGATTTGAACCCAGGTCTTCTGCAAGGACAGTCAGTGTTCTTAAACGCTGAGCCATCTCTCCAGCCCCGAGAAGATGCTTTTTGAGGGGGATAAAGGTGTGCCCTACTAGCCAGAGATCTTTACTGTAACAATTCTGAACATAAGCCAACCAACAAAGCAGAAAAAAAATGATTTTAAGCACAAAAAAGGGGCTGGAGAGATGGCTTAGCAGTTAAGAGCACTGCTGCTCTTACAGAGGATCCAGGTTCTGATCCCAGCACCCACATAATGGCTAACAATGGACTATAACAACACCAGTTCCAAGGGATCTGACACCTCTTCTGTCCTCTGTGCGCATTGCACCTACATGGTGTGTTTACATACATGCAGTCAACACTCATACACATAAAAACAAATAAACAGAGAGAGAGAGAGAGAGAGAGAGAGAGAGAGAGAGAGAGAGAGAGAGAGAGAGAGATTGAGAGAGAGAGAGGCAAGCATCTTAGAAAACCAGAGACAGCCCCTGGGAAGACTTCCCATTAAAAGGGAAGAAGATACTGACTTTAAGGGTACTAGGTAAATGAAGCACAGTTTTAAACAAAACTAAAAACCAGGTTTAGTTTTTACTGCTCTTCTTAAGTTGTCAACATTAGATTATCAAGACCAAATATTTCAAAATGAAGATGTACCTGATAACTGATCCTAAAGATTTTCTTACTGGAACATAGCAACCCCTGCCATTTAGCTTCTCCCAGGGTGTTTCCTCAGAAGTAAACTCACTAAGGATTCTATTTCAGTAAACAAGTTGGCCCCCACTCACCTGCTCACTGTAGAGAACCTGGACATTTTTGATGATGCGACAGTGCTTCTGAAGAATAGCTACGGCCTGAGCCAGAGGCATTCCTGAAACGAAGGACACCTGTGTGGTTAACTGAGCTGTCCATTTACTGACACCTACCACAGTGTCAAGTATTAATTCCCAAAGCCTGCACACAGGGTGGAGTCACTAAAATACACAGTAAGAGGTAAGATACAGTTAAGCAGCAAGTGCTAGGGAGCACTCCAGATTGTTCATGGGGAGAAAGTGAACAGAGAAAAAGCTTCTTAGAGATAGAGACAGCCACTTTGATCCCAAGCAGTCAAAGAACTCAGAAAAGACAAAGTCAGCATGAACCAAAGACTAGGCTGAGAAAAAACACTGACTGCATGACTCTGGAGGCCAGGGTTCTAGCCCTTAGTCTGCCAAGCATTCATTACCTGTAACCTAGAGCAGGTCCCTTCTCTTCCTCTTTGGCGTCAATCTCAGCAAGCTCAAATGAGAGTATGCTAGGACACATGACTTACAAAGATCTATTTTAAAAGTTTAAAGTCAGCTAGGTGTGATGGGGCACTCAAGAGGCAGAGGCAGGAAGATTTCTGTGAGTTGGAGGTCAGCTTGGTCTACACAGTGAGTTCCAGGCCCACTGGGGCTACATAGTGAGACTCTGTCTCAAAAACAAAACAGAAACAAAAACAAAACAACAACAAAATTTAAATCATATCTATCAGAATCAACTTATTTTACAAACAATGTCACTAGAGTCCTACTAAAAACCCCACAAATATCTCTTAAACACTTAGTTTTGAATGCAACACCCATTATAAATTTACATATGCCTCCAGTTTAAGCAATGCAAATCCCCAAAAGATGGCAAACATTGTAGGGACCCACAAGAGATCACCAAAAGTTTGTTTTCAGAGTTCATTAAAGTTAAGCAAGAAGAAATAGGAGAGGTAAGTTCTGGACAATCTAAAAACAAAAAATTCTGTGTGTGGAAGGACAGTGCTATTTACCACTCTGGATCCGCAGCTCACTGCTCAGAGCTAGTTAGCTATGTAATGGTTTTAGTCTATTTATTCAGTAGAACTAAAGGACTGTGTGGCAGAAAGTGACAAAAGAAAGGGAAGAAGAGGGGCTATAGTGTTGCCCTTATCACCCCAGGGCTACATGGAAGATCACACTCAAGATGAACTGACCTGTATGTTAAAAAGGTGAGGTGTGCAGAAGAGTTTTCAAATGAAGAATCAGAGGGTTGAACCTTGTAGCCCACCTCATTTAAACAATTCAATTCCATTACTATTTGAAGGACTATTGTTCAATTTGAAGAAAGGTGAAAGGAACCAAAAGGCCAAATTATACTTTGTATGTGTTTGAGTGTGAGTGCTTGAGTGTTCTGTGAAGGTCAGAGGACACTCTTTGGTGTCATTCCTCAGGAGTTGTCCATCTTGTTTTTTGAGACAGGGTCTCTCTAGCTTGGAGCTCACCAAGTAAGCTATGCAGCAAGCCTCAGTGATCCACCTGTTTCCACCTCTCCAGTGCTGAGATTATATCACACTGAGGGTTTTTTTTTTTTTTTTTTAAGTGGGTTCTGGGACTCGAACTCAGATTCTTATGGTTATGTGACAAGCACTTTACTAATTGAGCTATCTCCTCAGTCCTGAATTATAATCTCAATTAAAATACTGCAGTCTTCTATAGCATAGGGCCTGACACAGAACAGAGACAAGGCCTCTGAGAACATGAACAAGTTGGTGGCATCAGCCTTGCCATTCTTGTAATGGAAGGGCATCTATACTATACACACTTGTGAGATAAAACAATTACACAGAACACACAGGTCTCATACCATAGTGTTAGTACTCTTCCTTCCCTAGGAGAACCCCCATCATCTCCCCACCAATAGCATTCTTTCCTGTGGTTCCTCTACCTTTCCTAATTTCTATGACCTCTAAAGTCTCCCCTTTTCCCTGCCTCTCTAAATCCATTTTCTAAGTTATACTTCTCTCTCTCTTTTTTTTGATCTTTTTGAGACAGGGTCTCCCTGTAGCCCCAGCTGTCCTGGAACTCACTATGTAGACCAGGCTGGCCTTGAACTCACAGAGATCCATCTACCTCTGCCTCCTGAGTGCTGGGATTAAAGGCATGCGCCACCACACCCGGCAAGTTATACTTCTTAAACTGATACCCATAACAGATTTTACCCTCTTTTCCACTGAACTGAGTCTCTCCTCTAATCCTAGACTCTTCTGATCTGTAGTCAAGAGGCATTATCCATTGTGCCACTGGCCCCTGCTTCTCCTTTAATCCTTTATAGTATCCCAGGTAACTATAGCCAAACAGAATTAGGACTATGGGAAATCTACTTTTTGCTTTAGCCAGTACACTATACTCTAATTATAATTTCAAACTGATTATATAATAATACTAATGCTTCCCTGAACCCCTAGGTTAGGTTAAGTCCCTTCTCCCTTCTCCACAATATCCTATACATTTTTTACTACATTATAATAAAATGAACTATATCTATACACCTGCTGTGCCATTAACTTATGTTCTTCAGGGGATAAAGACCATTTCTTATTCAATTTCAAATGGTCATGAGCAGAGCTCACAAGGTACGTGTTGTCTTCGACACAGTGAGCTATTTGTCTCTGTAGAACAAGGCATTGTTGGAGAAAGCTATTTTCTCCTTCCCTCCCTCCCTCCCTCCCTCCCTCCCTCTCTCTCTCTCTCTCTCTCCATCACCTCCCTTCTTGTTTTCCTTATTTCTGTATTATAAAGTTCCATGAATTTGAGCTATTTTCTTTTTAAAATATTTATTTTTATTTTATGTGTATGAGTGTTTTGCCTGCATGTATGTAAATGCACCTGTGCTGTGCAATGTCCATGGAGGCCAGAAGAGGGTGAGATCCCCTGGAACTGGAGTTAGGGATGGTTGTTAGCCACCATGTGGGTGCTGTGAATTGAATCCAGGTCCTCTAAAAGAGCAGCTAGTGCTCTTAACTGCTGAGCCATCTCTCTAGCCCCAAGAAAACTATTTTCTAAAGTGACATTTAAATCTATCTTTAGGCATTCTAAAGACTAATTTCAAAATCAAATCCAAGCGAGGCCTGGTGTCACACCTGTAATCCTAGCATTCAGGATGTCGAGTTAAGAGTTCCAGGCTAGCCTGGGCTGCCCAGGAAGACTCTGTCTCAAAATAAATAAAAAACAAATCCAGATATATGCCTCCATATTAATATATTCTGCAAGTGTCACTGACAACTTTACTTCAAATTTGTACTGTATTTCACCATGGTCAAACTATCTGTAATAGAGAGACTCTGTTTGGCCTAAGTTTTCTTATCCCTGTGTCCCTGGCATTTCCCTAATCTTCCAACATTATACAAAGGCCAAGAAGGCACCCAAGAGGCTGGACACATCTCATTGTAATGGCAGGCACCGATTACAAGGGCCAGATAACATTTGCATTTGGACACATTCCAGTAAGAAATCTGGGGACAAAGCTAAACCCATCTTCAGAAGAGGCAAGTAGGAGGAAGCAGGAAGTCCTGTTCAGCTAGCTACAAGTTTATCATCTTTACTTAATAAGCCTATTTCTTAACTGGCACATGAAGAGGATCTTACCATGCTTTTTTTTTTTTTTTTTT